GAGGAACCCTGGAAAGCATGGCTCCTGGATTCTCTATCAGCCCAGATAAAACAATTTCTGAGGCCAACTCCTCAGACAGGGATTGGACTGGTCTGTGGGACATAAAGTGATACTTGTGAGGAGTGTGCCTTTTAGCTCAAGTAGATACATGGGACTAAAAGGGCAGCTTCTGTCTGGAGGTGAGATGGGAAGGCAGAGAGGATTAGGAGCTTGTTGAATGGACATGGGGAATCAGGGGTAGAAAGGAGGAGTGTGCTGTCACAGTATGGGGAGAGCAATTAGAGTCATATAACAATGTATGTATAAATTTTTGTATGGGGGGAAAATAAAAAGATTAGTCTTGAAAACCCTATGGGGCAGTTCTACCCTGTCCTATAGAATTGATATGAGTCGGCATTGACTCGATGGCAACGGGTTTGGTTTTAGGGTTTGGTAATCTTTACCGGAGCAGATCACCAGGTCTTTTCTCCCACAGAGCACCTGGTGGGTTCAATCAACCAACCTTTTGGTTAGCAGATAAGTGTTTAACCATTATGCCCCAGGGTTCCTTTGGGACAGCTCCTAATCCCCCACATTCCCTTCCTAAAGATGGCTAGGAGGTAAATATGGGGGCAAGGGAAGGGAAGTGAGAAAGAACTGTTCCTAAATGTTTGACTAGTGGTACCAATACCACTAATGGAGGAATGGAGGGCTTTTGGTGCTGGGGCTGAAAGGGGAGCAGGCATGAGGATGAGTGGGCCTGGCACTGAGTTTGGAGGCACCTGTGGGAAGGAGAACATCTGGGGTTAGGACACAGGAGAGACATCTGTGTTAGCAACACACATTTGCATCATAAGCACTCGGTGGTGGTGTGAAACTATGGGGACTGCTGAGATGACCCAGGAGTTGTGGGTAGTGGGAGAAGAAGACAGGGTCGAGAACAGGGCCCTAGAGAATGGTAGGACTTTAAGGATGGGCAGGGAGAGAATAGAATGAAGAGCAAATGTCATAAAATGTTAAAAATTAATGAATCTGGGTAAGGATATTTGGAAGTTCTCTGTAGTATTCTTGCAATCTTTCTGTGAGTTAGAAATAATTTCAAAATAAAAAGTTAAAGAATAAAAGGCTGATAGAATTTGGCATCTAAAAGGTCACTGGTGGCCTGGTGGAGCAGTTCCCAGGGTCCATGAGAACAAAGGCCCTCCTACGGGGTGTGGAGGTCAGAGTGGAGCTGGGGAAATGGAGAGCAGTGCAGTCCACACTTCAGCTCTGAATTGAGAGTTAGAATGTCATCCAAGAATGGGATCAAGTAAGGCTTTCTTTCATCTTTTTTTATTCTTTTAATAGGAGAGGCTTAAACACATTTATATGCTGGAGAGATTGAGAAAATATAGGGCAAAAGAAAGAGAGAAGATGTGCCTGAGACATTGTGCCTGAGCAGCTGAGAGGACAAAATTGCCCTGAGGCAACTGAAGCCTGGGACCTTTCACTCTGAAACCCTGAGAGTTGGTGGCCACCATCATCATTTTCTATGGAAGGGTCCTTTACGCATGCCTAAGATCTTTACCGCACACCAAGTAATCCCTGTTCGCTTAACCTTGCCACACAGGTCTTATGGTCCTGAATCATTTTATGCTCCTGTGAGTCTTCGCAGGTTTTCCACATCTCAGAACTGAGTCCTTGCTGAGCAGTGATGCTAGCAGAAGAAAGACTCTTCCCAGGCAAGGAACATGTTGTCAATGGAAAAATATATACAGGAACTTCCCCAGTTAAGTAAGGTTTCAAAGGATAAAATAGGGTGTTTTCTTTCTTGTCTCTAAAATAATTCTTGATTTTCCAGGCAAGAAAAAGGTATAATAGTCTCCATGTAGGATCTTCCATGGTGAATGTCAAAGTCCTTTTAATCACATCCTGAGGAATTTTTCCCACCTTTCCAAAGAGCTGTTAATCTGATTTTGCCTCCAACGCTATCACTACATCTGCTATGCTTCTTTTATCCTTCTCAACACAGAATCCTTCCTTACTGACACTGAAGATTAGAGTCAATATCTGTGTTCTTAGTTTTCTTAACATGATCAGACGGGATTTATAACCCAGGCTTAAAGTACTCATGTTTATTGTTAATAAATACAACAGAAATTTCTCCATGTCAGAGCTGATCTTGGAGCCCAGGCACAACTCTCAGGCCTCCAAGGGTGAGTCAGGGTAACTAAGAGCAAGTGTGGCATTTGTTTTACATCAGGTGACACTTCTGGTTGAGATCAGAGCATGCATTCTCTTCTCTGCTTATGCTGTGTCAGCAGGAAAGCAGTAAGAGAGAAACAGCCAGACACTACCTTTCACAGGGTAGGAGGCAGCCTTCCCTCAGCCTTGCTAGGATGAATGAGCATTAATAACTAAGGACAGGTCTTACTAAGAAATTATCATCCCAGCATCAGGAATGGCCAGTGCTTAAGCTCCAGTCACAGGCCCCTGCTCTGTGTGTAACGTGAAGACCGACTGTCATTAAGCAGTTACTCTGAGTGCATGTAGCATGTCCTGATTGCCAGCGTTGGTAATAAAAGAACCCCAGTGAGAGCAGGATGAAATAGAGGATTTCAGTGCTGATGGAGATTAAATAGCCTGAGAATGGCTTTGTATATTAACTTCAGGGAACTCAGGTCTTGCCACCTAAAGAGTGACACCTGATGCCTCCATTGTAGGGAAATAAATCTTCAGTAAACCCCAGATCTCAAGTAGGCTACTTGGAAGGTGAGCGAAATCCCATCAAGCCCATAAATATCTTCCTTTCTAGGGACTGAAATGCCATCTCTGGGCATGTACATTTGCGTGAATAGCAGATTTAACACTTGAGACAATTAAAGTTTCATAAAATGATGAGTCCTTGGCTTTGTTGACAAAGCACCCTGTGAAGAGAACTATTGTGATCTGAATTTTCATAATAACATGATTAAAATCAAGCGGTAACCCAAGATTTCAGACCTGGTACCCTAGAAAAGAAATATCTGATAGTTTTTCTCTTTTATTTTGGTGGGAGTGAGGATGGAACTAGGAAAAGTACAATCAGATTACAGCAGAAAAAGAGTTTCTGGTCACTTGTTTCTCAAGTGAGTAAAGGGCTGAGCAATTAAAAAACAAAAACAAAAACAAAAAACAGTAGCTGTCGAGTTAGCTCCGAATCATGGTGACCCCACGTGTGCCAGCATACAACTGTGCTCAATAGGCTTTTCAAGGCTATGACCTTTTGGAAGCAGATTGCCAGGCCATTCTTTTGAGTTTCTTCTGGGTGGGTTCTAACCACCAACTTTTGGGTTAGTAATCAAGCACTTAACCATTTGCACCATCAGAGACTCCAGTGCAATTAAAGGCTGAACAAATATTGCACAGGATAACATTATCAGCATCAATTAATACTAATAGATATAGCCAAGGAGGGCTTTGCTGGCCTTCATGAACAGTGATGACAGCCGTGAAAAGAGCTGCTGTGGTTCATGAACACAGTTAAAGGACTATAAAATAGCAAGTTTCCTCTGGATCCGCTACAAGCAGGGATGTTCTGGGGGCTATCTATTTGCAGAGCTTTTCTTGCCACCTTTTCCCCATGCAACTCAATATACTGCATGGAAGGAAGAATCTTTTCCTAATTGGAACACAGAAAAAGAAGTTTCTGTCTGTTTTTTGGAATACTGCAGGGAAAAATTTAAAATTTACAGGAGCTAATCAGAACGTGGCCAATCCCCAGGAAAGCTCAAATTCTAAGGAGAACATACTATAAATTTCAATTTAGAAGTTATCCTTACTTAAAAATCTGACATAAGAAGTAATATTGTATACTATTACTGATTTAAATTTAACAATCTCAGCCTTATAAGATTTTATTTGAAATAGAATACCGTTCAATATTATACAGGAATAGAACGAGTCTTAGCAATTATATCAGAAAAGCCAAATAAGTATTGAACTCATTGCAATAATTTGATCACTCTTCAGAGCAAGCAAAAACAATTTGAGCAAAAACATGATTTATTCGCTTCAAGACTTTTTTCCTGAATGATCCAGATAACTTGCATTTTTTGATTAACATTGCATAGATACAGACCACGGAGATTTTTTATATGTGTGTGCAGAAATATATTGCAGTTCTATCACACGCTGATGCGAATGGTCATCTTACTGTTTTCAATAAGCATTTAATCATTCTTTCCAAAGGCCTCTTAACTCAGCTCGTTTTTCACAAATTAAGGAGGGCTTTATTCCTTGGGAAATATTTCTAAATGGTTATGTAGGACAATATAGTTACACAGTGTATCTATTATGCCAGGAGTACATTTTGTTGTTACACGACTTTGAAAAGCAAAAAGACTGTTCTGAAATTGAAATATTTCCCCCACATGTTTGATTGACTAAGTACAGGCTATATTAACGAACAGAAGCAAAACAACCCTTGTGGCTTCACAGATGTCCTTTCATAGTCCTCTGAATACAATCTAATTTGTTTCAGTTAGTGAAGAGGTCATTTCTAGCTTCTGACTTGGAGGAATAAGACCTGATAATTTGAATTGTAGTTCATACTAAACGTGTACTTGGTTGGGAAAGCAAACTCTTGATGTTCTTTTTAAAGTTAAGATTTTTAAAAAATATTTATCTTAGTTAAAATAAGCTTGCGTATTTTAGGTAGGTTTGCCCTTTCTTTGCATGCAGCTTGTTGAAGATAAAGCTGCTTCCCCCCACTTCCACCCCCATAGTAGAACACTTTACAACTTTTTAAGTCAACTTCTTGTCCTTAATATAAAGCCTATTCTACACTCTCTATTTCTGTCCAGGCTCATAATCTAAAGTTGCCAGGAGTTAATTGCTTTCTGTTGCCTAAAATTGGGAAAGGACCCTCTGTACTCTTATCTCCTTTCAGTTCCCTGGTCACTGTCCCAGAAGTCACAACCCCCAGTTTGAGAAACACTCATTTAAAATTTGTGAAAAGTGTCAATCTTTTATTTTTACATTAATCAAAAACATCTTTTCAGAATTACCAGGAACATTGGTCTCAATATGAAAACACAAAATCAAGCAATGTGCCCAGACGTCAGCCTTCTGAAGCAACCGACGGCCAGCAAACTTCCAGAAGCCCAGCCAAGCACAAGATTCGAAAACAGCATCAACGCCAGAATGGCCTGAAAGCTTTAATGACTAAAGAGCTAGTTGCCAGTCAAGTAAACCAGGATGACATGCCCAGACAGCAGGAAAACCAAAATAAGCCTTTTGACACTTCAAAAAAGTATGACTCAATTGTGATTACGAATGCCCCTGACAATGATTTACAAGACTCAAGTGCACTTAGGAGCCAGAATCCCAACGTGACCTCCAGTAAATTTGCTCCACCAAAACAGGCTTTTGACAAGGTACCATATACAAACTCCACTGACTTTCACTCAGTGATGAATATTAATAAAGAAAGGGGGCACAAAGACCAAGAAGAGAAAGGATTTTCGTATCAGCACCTACATGTCAACGCGCTTTCCAATATGGACTTGAACTATGTTAATGAACTTTCGAAGACACAAGTGCCCCTGAGCCAGAAAAGCTCTCAGCCTGTTTATAACATAAATGTTGACGAAGCAACTGAAAATAAGAAGCAACCCAAATGGATTTATGCAGAGACCAAATATAAGAACTTAGAAATGTTATGGTAAGAATTCCCTTTCCTCAAAGGTTTAGCACAAGTGGTTTTCTAGAGGAGAAATGATAGGCTGTTGGTCAAAGGCAAGAGGAGAGTGGTCAGGTGAGAGGAAAAATCCACTTAACACCTCCCTTGGCTCTGATTCCTGCTTATAAGAGTCCCCTTTTGATTTATTTCTTTTCTCTTCCCTGTATCCTCTATTGGTTTCCACCATAGTTAAACTAGAAGTTGGAGGGAGCGGAGAAGGTCAGAGAGACCCAGTCAAAATAGATCAGTATATTTTGAGGACTGCAAGTAACTTTTAAAGGAAACAAATTATCTCCAATACTGTAATGGCCTATCCTAAGAAAATAATCTAAAGATACAGACAAATATGTATGCCCCAAAATAGCATCATTTACCGAAATGATCTAAAATCCCAACAATAGGAAAATACTTAGATAAATTATGATATATAGTATCATATAAACATTAAAAATTATAGTATGAGGAAATACTTCTATAAAAAGAAAATAGTAGGGTACAAAAATTACACTGAGGGCCTCTACTATATTAAAATGTGCACAAAGGAAGAGAAATACACAGAAATATCAGTAGTGGTTATCTCTGGCAAGAGTAACTGGTATTATTTTTATTTACTTTTTATATTTTCCAAATTGTTCAAGTTCCCTACATAATATAGTAATACATAGCAGCTGTAGTCCTATAATCAGAAAAAAGATAACTTGTTTTAAAAATCACTTCAGGAGACATGTATTGATGTCATTCAGTCAAATTATTACACACCTAAAATGTGCCGAATGTAGTGCTAAAATGCTATAGAAGAAACAACAAAAGCATAATGCATGGGAACCTTCAAGGAGCTTACTTTTATGGTAGGGGGACAATTTCACACATAGGAATGATCAGAAGGCATTTAAGTGCTAGATCTGGTGATATGGAATGCACATCTAATAAGATTCAGAGTTAGCTTCCTAAGAAGAGGAACTGATAGATAGCAGGCATCCTTGTCTTTTTTCCTGATTTTAGGCAGAGTGCTTCTTAACATTTTTACCATTAAAAATCATACTTGGTTTTTGGTAGATAAGGAGATAGGAAATTTCTTCCCATTCCTTTGTGCAAAGAGGTTTTTTTTTTTTTAACATCAAAAATGGGAATTGAACTTTATCAAATACTTTTTCTGCATCAATTGAAAAATCTTCTCCTTTAGTCCTTTAATGTGATTAAATATATTAACAGATTTTCTAATATTACACCATCTTTTTATTCCTAGGGTTAATCTAGCTTGCCATACTGTATTTTTAATAAATTGCTTGATTTTATTTTTTAACACTTTGTTTAGGATTTTATCTCCAAGTGCGAAAGTGAGATTGGCATATAATTGTCCTGTCTACCACTAGCTTTGTCTTGCTGTGTTAGGAAGATTATACTAGCCTTATAAAATGAGTTGAGGACTATTCCCTCTTTTTATATCCTCTAGGACACTTCATATACAATTGGAATTATCTATTACTTTAAGGTTTGATAGACTTTTCCTATAAAACTTTGGGTCATGTTTTTTGTTTTGCTTTGTTGTTCTTGTTGTTTGTGGGTAGATTTTTAACTACTTATTCATATGTCTTTACAAACTTTCTATTTCCTCTCATGTCATTTTGATAAATTATATTTTTCTAGGAAAAATATTGTGTTTACTAAGTGTTTAAATTTATTGTCATAAACTTTTCGTAATATACTTATTACTAAACCTCTACTATATCTGTAGTTATGTCCTTGTTTTCGTTTCTAATACTATTTTTTCTCTTATTTTTAATTAATTTTTGTTTTATTAAGATAATGAATGCACATAGATTAAAAGTCAGATAACACTTAAAGGCTTGTAACAGTAGAGTGTTCTACCTATTCCTCTTCATTCTGCCCAGTCCACTCCACAATACTTAGTTGTGAGTAGCAATTGCATTGGTATAATAATGAAAATACTAAGTATCAGCAACCCCTTTAGACTCTTGACTGTTTTTTTCTGGCATGTGCACATGCACATAATTCTCAGTTATACTTACTTACTGCTATGTTTTGCTTCTCCAATTTTGCTGCTGTTGTTGTTGTTGTTAGCTGCTGCTGAGTCAGTTCTGACTGATAGCAACCCTGTGTACAAAAGAATGAAACACTGCCCGGTCCTGCGCCACCCTCACAATCGCTGCTATTTTGAACCCATTGTTAACAGCCACTGTGTCAATCTATCTCATTGAAGGTCTTCCTCTTTTTCACTAACCCTCTACTTTATCAAGCATGATGTCCTTCTCCATGGCCTGGTCCCTCCTGATAACACGTCCAAAGTACATGAGATGAAGACTTGCCATCGTGGCTTCCAAGGAGCATTCTAGATGTAATTCTTCCAAGACAGATTTGTTCATTCTTCTGGCAGTCCATGGTATATTCAGTATTCTTTGCCAACACAACAATTCAAAAGCATCAATTCTTCTTTGGTCTCCCTTATTCACTGTCCAGCTTTCACATGCATATGAGGTGACTGAAAATACTATGGCTTGGGTCAGGCACACCTTAGTCCTCAAAGTGACATCTTTGCTTTTTAACACTTTAAAGAGGTCTTTTGCAGTAGATTTGCGCAATGCAGTATGTCATTTGATTTCTTGCCCGCTGCTTCTATGGGCGTTGATTGTGGATCCAAGTAAAATGAAATCCTTGAAAACTTCAATATTTTCTCCGTTTATCATGATGTTGCTTATTGGTCCAGTTGTGAGGATTTTTGTTTTCTTTGTGTTGAGGTGTAATCCATACTGAAGGCTATAGTCTTTGATCTTCATCAGTAAGTGCTTCAAGTCCTCTTTGCTTTCAGCAAGCAAGGTTGTCATCTGCGTATTGCAGGTTGTTTATGAGTCTCCCTCCAATCCTGATGCTGCGTTCTTCTTCATATAGTCCAGGTTCTCAGATTATTTGTTCAGCATACAGATTGAATAAATATGGTGAAAGGATACTATCCTGAGGCACACCCTTCCTGATTTTAAACCATGCAGTATGCCCTTGTTCTGTTCGAACAACTGTCTCTTAGTCTATGTACAGGTTCCTAATGAGCACAATTAAGTGTTCTGGAATTCCCATTCTTTGCAATGTTATCCATAATTTGTTATGATCCACACAGTC